GCAGTGTCAAATGTCACGAACCTGCCACTTCACAGCTGAAACACTTGAAGTTAGAGTTCCAGTATATACCCTGTTGTACTGTGGTAGTGAGGGCCTACACTGCTGAAATGGGCCCACACAAGTCTATGCAGGGGGGAAAGGCACTCAAAGTCCATAGATCCCTTATGCCTGAGTCTAGGCAAAGGAGCTGTGCCTACCCTGAGTTCCTGGCTTAGGGGAGCCAGCAGTTTATTTTTTCCCCTGTTTGTTAATTTGTTCACTCTCCCAGGCCAGGAGAATGGCTCAGGGCGTGTGATGGATCCTACTTCTGGCCCAGGGGGGCTCGGCAATTGCTGAAGCTGGTCCAGGACCCAGTGCAGAGCAGGGAGCAGGGAGGTAAATGGGAGAGAGGTTTTTCCCTGATGCGGGTGTTTTTGATCCCCGCAGTAGGCCGGATGCAAATACTTATCTTTCCATGATTGAGGGCTGCTTCTCACTGTTTCTGTGCAGCCGAGCACTAACATATTTTTTAAAGAAATTACTTTTAACTAAAATTAAGCATAAGATTAAAATTAAAAAAAAAAAAAAACAGTTCACAATGTAATCAACTTTAAATAATCTAGAAGATTTTTCTATTTGTCTATTTTGCATACCTAACATATCTTGGAGCCAAAAATCTCTCAGTGGCTGTTTTTATAAACTGATGCAATTTCCCTGAGGAATTGTTCACCCAAAGTGATAAACAAAAATAAAATAAAATAAATGTCAACTCCAAAATTTATTTAAGTGTTGGGGTTTTTGTTGTTTTCTTTCTTTGAAGAAACACTTACAGAATTTTCTTTTGACAGCTCCATCAATCCATCTGCCAGAGCCTGTGCAATTTCTTGGCTATTCAAGATGTTGACCATACTCATCGTGTCAAACATAAGCTGTCCTGTAAACATAAGGCCACAGACCCTGTAATTAATTAATGTAAAAAATGTGATTGAGAAGAAAACAGAAAACAACTCAGTCCTCACGGTTGCTTTTTAGTGGATAAGAATGCAAAGGATAAGAATGAAAATTCTATTATGCCATGAAGATGATCTACCATGATAAAAAATAAAATGGGCAAAAGCAACCAAATGTACAGTATATAAAAAGTATCCACCCTGGCAAAACTGGTTTAGAATGAAATCAATGAAAGTGGATAATAAAAAGAACACATGAAAAGGAACCTTATAAGTTTAAATCTTAGATTCTCAAACCCACCAAATATTCCTACACATTCCTCTTCATCTTTATGCTCAATTTATAAATATTTTAGATCCATAGGAAATAGCACACAAACGTACATACACAGACATCTTTTAATTCCCACCTGCAGAGACTCAAAACTATTTTAAAATACTAGCTGAACATCTACTAAGTGTGGTAGAGTGGGTAGCACATAAAAACAAGAAGACAAATCCCTGTTTTGGAGGCAATTATGTAAAAAGATAGACATATGTTGACAGATTAAATATCTGCATGCATACTAGTGTTACAGCTCCTGTATAGACAAGTAATTATGTAAATAGACATTAAATAAGGGTCAGGGCAGCAGAACAGAAGAAAGAAAGTCAGGCATAGATATATAATGACTTGATGGATTCAGAGTTTTAGTCAGATGAGGAGAATTAGGAAAAAACTGAATAGGTAGTTAAAGACGGGGGGAGGGCACAAATGGTTTGAGCTCGCCTACTAATAGAAAGGTTGGTGGTTCGAACCCATCTAGTGGCACCAAAAAAGAAAGTCCTGGTGATCTGCTTCCATAAGGATTACACAGCCAAGAAAACCCTATGGAGTTCAGTTCACTCTGTAACACATGGGGTCACCATGAGTAGAAATCAACTTGACAGTAATGGGTTTGAACTTTGTTGTTGTTAAAATATTTTATTTTAAATAATGGACTGATTCAGGTGAAGATCCAAAGTTGAGACAGGGAATAGTTTACAAATGACTCTATTGTGATCATTCAATCATGGGTATGGAGTATGAATGAGGAAATAAATTCAGTAATGTCCAATAGGCTCAGCAAAGGACCATGGAGCCCAGCAACAAATTATATATTTAAGACAGAGAATAAATAGGTGGTGGTAAACCATTTAAGTAATCGGTGCTGTGGAGTATCTGGTAGCAACTTCTAGAGAAAACTGTAGTGGGAAAAGAACACAGCTCTCTAACTCAGCAAACACTTAGTGCTTTTTGTCTAAGTAAATAATCGACTCTCATAGGAATTAATAAAATAGTTAAGTTTTAAAACAGGAACTAACTTCAGCATTTTGAACACGAATATATTTGTTCTTTGTGGTTATTCATTATAGTTAAACGGAGATATAAAAAACAAAGGGAATAGAGTTTTACTGAAGATGCTTAAGAACTAAAGCTTAATTGTATCATTCCCAAACTTAGAGTCACTCAGGATATGAAACAAACTTGGTAATTAACCTCCAACAGAAGTAGCAAGAGTTCTTACCTATCATCCTTCCACTGATGTTCTTCTGCAACTCCCTGAAGAGAGGACTGAACTGTCTCCTTACCGATTTCAAGGTGTCTTCCAGGAAGTCTGTGAGGCTGGACCAGGTCTGCAGCTTGGATTCAGTGAAGTAGATGGAAGGAGGAGACTTTTTCCACTGTTGTCCCAGCCAATCACTAAGAACTGACATGGTTTTCTCCTTTTATTATTGCAGACTTGTGCTCAAATGAAAGAATTCTACTTCTTGTTTGAAGTACAACAAAAACTTAGTTATATTTATATCAGGTTTATTATCCTTTCTCATTAGAAGACTAAGATATACACCCAAAGTCTGCTTTCAAAGGTGAAATTAAAAACTCAAAAAGGACACAATAAAGAATTTCAAATGCCTATCTACTCTTTGATAGACAAGGTTTGACATACATCTGAAACCAAAAATTAAACAGCTGCTGGATCGTGCATTGGGAAGCAGAGTAGGCACTTAAGTAAGAATATACTGTTTCATCTTTACATCCTAAAAATGAAAAGTACAAGAAAATCCCACTCTGGCTGGTTTCCCCATCATGCAATCCAAAGTCATCCATGTTGTGGCCAACCCTGTATATTTCTTACATTATGTATGTCAAGCTGCTATCTCCCTCTACAAATACCTCTACACAACTATAGTGGATGCTTAAGTAAAAGTCTCTCCTTGAAAATCAACTCATCTGAATGATTCAGTGAAATCCTCAGTGGATCCTGAGTGGATAGATAGCCTTATTTTCTTTTCCCGCCTAACAATATTGATATGTATGTAAAAACCTTTATCACATTGTCTTCTATAAGGAGAATGAGAAAAAGAGTAGGATGAACAGGAATGAGGGGAGGCAGAGGAGGAGAAAAAGAAGAAAACCTGTTCCATATTGCAAATAACAGCATCTGTGTCCTGCTGTGCTCTGCTAGGCTGATTCCTTTCCCCATGGGGCCAAATATGCTATCTTTTGGTGATGCTGCTTTATTAACTAAGGCTCTACAGCGCCATTACACATTGGACGTTGGTTACAGCACTGTGGAGCTGAGTCCTCCATTTGAGAAGACAAACCACAGCTAACAATGGCAACTTCTCTGACTCCCCTCACTACAGCTTCTTTTTGTAGCTGTAATCCCTTTCTCCAAACCAAACCATATAATTATATTTTACTAGCAGAAGGTTCTCTTTGTACTTATTATTTCTCTAGATCAGCAACTATACATTTTTGCTTAACTGTTAAAGAATATGTTTTCAACAGAGTTTTTGCAAATGATGATTTGAAGCAAGCATTTGCAATAAATGATCCCTTCTAAGCAACTGACTGAGTGACATGAGATTACATAGTTTGGGAAGTGATCGCATTCTGTCAGAGGAGGAATAAAAGACAGTAATTGATACATGACCAGTATTATTAACTGTTATGGGATGAATTCTGTCCCCCAAAATATGTATTATATATCCTAACCCTTACACCTGTGGATGTAATTCCATTTGGGAATAGGGTTTTCTGTATTATGTTAATGAGGTCATATCAGTGTAGGGTGTATCTTAAACCAATCACTTTTTTTCTTCTATTTTGGTGAAAATATACACAGTCATACACATTTTCAAAAATCTACATGTACAACTCAGTGACATTGATTACATTCTTCAAGTTGTGCAACCATTCTCACCACCCTTCTCCAAATTGTTCTACCACCATTGACTTAAACTCACTGCTCCCTAAGTCTCTCATCTAACCTTTCAAGTTGCTGTTGTCAGTTGGATCTCACATAGATAATTACTTAAAAGTGCACAATGTTCAAGGCAGATAGGCTTTACTTATTAAGATAAACTATTTTTTTGGTTCAAAGAAGACTTCAGGGGATAGTTTTAAGGTTTAAAGTTTAAACATTATCTCAAGGCAATAGTTTTAGGGGTTCAGTCAGCCTTAATGGCTTCAGAAAGTCTGGATTCCATTGAGAGTATTTGAAATTCTACACTGCATTCTTCCCCCTTTTGATTGGGATTCTTCTATAGAATCTTTGATCAAAACAATCAGTAATTTAAACTAATCAGTTTCGTATATAAAAGAGCAGATTAGGCACAGAAGACAGCAGACACAGGGGAAGACCAACATTATCTGGAGATGGTGGAGGTGGACCAGTCTACAAGACCAGGAACTCAAAGGATGGCTGACTAGAGAAGCTGAGACAAGGACTTTCCCCCCAGAGAGGACAGAGAGAGACTTGCCCTAGAGCCACCACCCAGAATTCAGACTTATAGCCTCTTAAACTGTAAGAAAATAAATTTCTGTTTAAAAAGCCACCCACTTGTGGTATTTCTGTTGCAGTGGCACTAAGAAACTAAGACTTTTTAAAATTTTTTTAATTGATCCTGGGTTGCTGTATGCTATTGGGCATGGTAGTCAGCTCCCATATACACTTACTGTGTTGGTAGGAGCCAGTCGCAATCCCCATAGGGGCGGTAAACAACGTGCCAGTTAGTTGAGACAGCTGAGAAAGAACTTCTGTTCCTGCTTCTGCACAGTCAAGAAGACTTTCATTAGTTTACTCACAGGTTTTGCCACAGAACAGTTAAATATTACTTAGGAGCATGAATGAGCAGGCCAAGAAAGGCCACTAACAGTTCTCTTCCTCAATTCAAACCTCTCCACAGAGCAGCCCAGAAACAGTTTACACTTCACTCTTAAATGCTGAAACCCAGACACTTAAGGTATGAGGCCTAAACACCAGGGTGGGGAGAGAGGGTAGGAATTTTGACCTGGTGCTTGTCTTCCAATTTGGAATACTCAACTCAGAGTAAGTGGAAAATCTGCATGTTTTTTCTAAAATAGTCACTCAAAGGAGAAGTCTTATCCTGAGAAGATAAATTTAAAACTGCTAAATCAAATGGAATAGGATAGTCAAAATTTAGTGTGGCGTTAATTTCACCTATTCTTCAATGACATAGCAGAATTATTCAGAATGGAACTAATATAAAGAGTAAAACCCAAAAAAAAACCATTGCCATCAAGTCAATTATGGCTCATAGCGACCCTGTAGGACAGAGTAGAACTGACACATAGGGTTTCCAAGGAGCGGCTATTTTAATTCTTTGTGATCAGAGAGTAAATAGTTACTGCAAACTGTTTCAGTTGCTGCTTAGAACAAGAGGGCAGTAGCCTAAAAGGTGGGAAATCTCTCACTTACTGGTGTCTAATGTTTTCAGGGGTTTCCCTTGTCAAGTTTATAGTGCATTCCTCTTTGTTCTCAAAAAAGTTTTTAAATCTTCATTCCACAGAACCCTCTCCCATCCTTACAAATAGTAAAAGGGACCCTGGACTCAGAGTTAGGAGGTCTGGATTATAGTCCTAGCTTTGCCAGTAACTGAATGTGGGGCTTCTCTGGGCCTAAGCTTTCTCATTTGTAAAATAATAATTAAAAAACAAAAACTATTTCTGTCGAGTCGATTCCAACTCATGGCGACCCCATGGGTGTCAGAGAGAACAGTGCTCTGTAGGGTTTTCAATGGCTGATGTTTCAGAAGTAGATTGCCAGGCCTTTCTTCCAAGCTGCCCCGAGTGGATTCAAACTGCCAGTCTTTTGGTTAGTAGCTGACTGCTTAACCATTTGTGCCACCCAATCAAATCTGCATTACTTCTTGTAAGGTGTTTATGACTCTTGTTTATAAAGATTTTTAGCTGAATATAACATTGGACATGTTATCAGGAGGGACTAGTCCCTGGAGGAGGGCATCACGCTTGGTAAAGTAGATGGTCAGCAAAAGAGAGGAAGACTCTCAACAAGATGGACTGACACAGTGGCTGCAATGATGGGCTCAAGCATAACGACAATTGTGAGGATGGCGCAGGACCCGGCAGTGTTTTGGTCTGTTGTACATGACGTTCCTATGAGTTGGAACTGGCTCGACGGCACTTAACGACAACGACATAACATTTAAGATACTTTCAAGTCACAGAACACCAGTTTTAAACTGAATTAAACAATCAAAGAAATATATATCATTTAATCTCACAGTCTAGAAGTGGGGCAAGCTCAGGGTGAGTTGATTTGGTGGCTTAGCAATGTCAATCCAAGTTCTTTCCTTCTCTCTGCTCTGCCGTTTCCAGCATTGCTCCCATACCAATCAGCTCCTGCGTTTTCTAACTTTAAAAATAATGCTCCCCTCAAAAAAAGATGAGTCAGTTTTTTGGCTTATGTAGTAACTGAGTAAATGAAGATATTTTTATTGAGGAATCCTGGGGAAGGGGTAGGTTTGGTGCTGGGGAGGCAATCAAGAGTTTGTTTTAGGTGTGTTAACTTTGAGATGCCTATTAGGCACACAAATTAAACATCATGTGAAGCTGTCAAGTGGGAGTTAGATGTAAGAGTCTGTAGTGCAGAGATTTCAGGGCTGGAGTTATAAATTTGGGAGTCTTTTCTGGATGGATTAAATTTAGGATCATGGAACTAGATGAGACTGCCTAGGAGAAGAGTGTACTTACAGAAAAGGAGAGGCCAGGATCAAGCCCCAGGGCATATTGAAGGGTCTCACAGAGGAGGAGGATCCAGCAAAGGAAACTGAGAAGAGGCCACTGAGATAGGAGGAAAACAGAGCTTGTGGTACTGGGGAAGCCAAGAGAAGAGTGTTTCAAGGAGGAGTGTTCATCCCTGTCACATGCTGCTGAGAGGTCAAAGTAAGGTGGGGATGGAGAAGGGACCACTGGATTTGGGCACATGGACGTCACTATGGTCTTGCCAAAAGCAGTTTCAGTAGTGATAAAGAGACCACTTGGAGGAGCTCAGTCGGTGAGGAAGGTGGAGGCAGTCAGTATAGACCAGTGTTTCCCAAAGTGTGGCCCCAGAACCAGCAATATCAGCATCACCTGGGAACTTGCTAGAAATGCAAATCCTCTGGCCCCACCCCAGACCTACTGGAGCCAAAAACATGTCATTTAACAAACGCTCCAGGTGATTCAAATACTCACTAAAGTTTGAGAACCAATGATGTAGTCAACTTAAAAAAGAATGAGGAAAAGTTTTGTTTTGTTTTTGTTTTTAGACAGGAGATACTACAGGTGTTTCTGATTTGATAGAACCAGACCTACTGAACCAGAAACTCTGGGGTGGAGTCCAGTAAGGTGCAGTTTAACAGGCTTTCCAGGTGATTCAAATACACACTAATGTTTGAGAACCACTGTTATAGTCAACTCAGAAAGGGGTGAAGGAAAGTTGAGTTTTGTTGTTTGTTTGCTTTTTAACACTTTCAAGACCCTATTATTTTCTGATTTGAATTTTTTGTTGATACTACGTGTTTTCATTAATGGAAGCATGCTGAGCCATTAAGTGTGTTTAAATTATTGGTTGGTAATATGGATTTTGAGAAGTATTATGTGGGAATACACGAGTACCACAAAACTTGAGGGGTTCACTGAAGTCATGATTGGTGGGCACCCATCTGGCCCACCAGTCATGGGTGTCAGGATTAATTGCAGGGCGCCTTCCATTTGGTTACACTGGGCGCCTCTGGTTTTCCAAATATCACACACACACACACATAAACTAAACCCACCAGGGTTCCCGAACCATCATACAGGAAACCATAAATATATTTACAAGACTTATCTAGCTGTACAAAAGCCAAAAGAGACAAAAATTTTTCCCAATCACACTTCCTAGATGCACTGCCTCATATTTAAGCTACTTTGTGTCAACAAACATTTCTTTAATTTTTCACCATTACACAAGTCCCCACTGGAAGGCAACAAATACTTTTAGTAGGAAAAAAATAGGGTCCCAAGAAACCTGGGAGGTGGAAAAAGTGAGAAGGCAACCATATATCCTATGGTTTAAAATAAGATATACTACAGGTGTTCCTGATTTGATAGGAATGCTCCAATAAAAAGAGAACTGAAGCTGCAGGAGAGCATCTGAGTCTAGGAGTAAAGTCCTTGAGAAGGTGAAAGACAGTGGGGTACAGATTCCAACTGGAACAGTGGATCTTCAATACAAACTAGGGTGTTTTTCCCATCATAACAGAAGGAAGACAGAAAATGAAGGTAAGGAGTGAGGAAGGTGGTGGATTTGGTCTTGGGAGAAAAATTAGGGAGTTCCCATATGCTTCAGTTTACTCAGGGAAGGGAAGTTAAGAGGTAAGGTCTAAAGCTGAAAGAGAAGGTTATTGAAAGATTGAGCAAAGAGACTGTGTGAAATAATCATCTCAAAGGGTAGGAAAGTGAATTTATAAAGGAAATGTAGTAGGATTGCTTGTCAGTATTGTACTCCCACTTGATATTTATGACATCAAAGTAAAGTTAGACCAATCAACAGTTGTATTCCTTTTTCCAATAGCCTTCCTCTGCGTTAGTGCAGGCAAGCATAGTGTATGCAGATATTTGTGTTTTAACCAGCACTGGGATTTAGCCAGGAGAAACAGAGACAAGGAAGTTAAGATTCTTAGCAAGACAGTGATTATAATGGTGGGCCATTAAATCCAAGTTTGACAAGGATGGAAGCAAGAATGGAGGGATGATGACAGACTGAAAAAGTGAGAGTGTATGAATTGATGGTCATCAGACAAAGAATTGCTAGAGAAGAAATATTTGAGTAAATTAACTGAATGGTTTGGAAGTGGTTCTCAGAGAGACAAAGCTTGATATCAAGACTTCAGAGGGGATGCAGCTACTGGGGATGACAAGCTCAAGCTCAGAGTGGTGCCTAAGGTGGGATGGATTAAGAGATTTTGAACTGAGAAGCCAAGATCTTTGATGGTCCACCCAGGAAGATATTACATTTGATGAAAATATCAGGTATGGCTTCGGGGCCCAGAATGATGGTAAGAAATCTATTGTTTGGGTGCCATTATGCCACCAAATTCAGTTTGCCCTCATCCTCTCTGCCTTTCAATACTTTAATACTTCACTTTCTCATAATCTTTTACTCCAGTTAAAAAATCTGCTTTGCTCTCAGTACAAAATACTAGTTCATTAGAGAAAATAGAAACACAACAGAAGAAATAAAATTAGAAAAAGAAAAGAAAACTCACTTATAATTCTATCCAACTACTGTTAACACCTTGGTATATAGCCTCCCAAACTCCTTTCTATACATATACCACCTCCTCAGCACCCCACACATACAGAGATTTTAAACAATGGGACCACGCCTCTTTGTAACCTATTCTTTTAAAATTGATTTCACAAATAGGAAATTTGAAAATACATCTAAGAGATAGATGCCATTAATATTTTGGTATATTTCCTCCTATATTTTTCTATGCATATTTTTACATAGTTGACATTATATAATTTTAATAACTTTGTAAAATTTTACTGAAGTATTTTACCAAATACTTTGTATTTCGTTTTCTTTTAAACCCCCTTTCATCCTTTTGTTTAGTCCTTTCCACTGGCTGAAGCCTGCCAGGGGCAGGCTCTGCATGCATCAAATAGTCTTGTGAAATACGAGGATTAGGAAGAAATATAAAACAGTTCCCTAAGGAATAGGTAATAAGAAACAGTTTGAGAAAATTTAATTTCATACTCCCTCCCCTTCCTCTGCTTGGTAAAAAGACATAGTCCATGAATGCAGAGCTTTAAGAGACATGCAAAGAGTGAATTTGATTGAATGCTTCTGGAATTTTCCTCCAAGGGATTGAAATCAGCTTTGCATGATAGAGGATGATTCTAGACTGGCAAGCAAATAAAGTTATATCAGCAACCTCAGTGATCTTCAACCAAACTCATTTTTACAAAGCACTTCACTGATTTTAGTATTAAAGTATTTATATTATTATTTATTTCTTAAATATTAATGCTATTTTGATATTCACAAGTCCTGTAAGGCAAGGTAAGGTACTCTTATCCTAATTTTCAGATGAGAAAACAGAGGTCCGCAAACTTGCTGAAGGTCACACAGCTAAAAAGTGGTATGAGTGGGATTCAAGTCCAGGGCCTTGAAACAGGCTCAGGGTTCAGAACTCTGTCATGATCACAGAGGCAGGGGCTGTCTTCTCAGACCCGCCAATTATAGTTCCTGTGGTGGCCAGTCACCTTCCTCTGTGTTGGGGAGGCTGAGTTTACTATGTTTTCCAGAATAAACAGAAATAATACTGCTGGCTATTGCCATTAATGACTATTTCTGCAGGGGCAGGTTACTCTGACCACTAACCCTGACTCTCCTCATCCCCCAAAGCAACTGGGTCTGTGAAGTATAAAGAGAGAAAGAAATAAAAAGTAAAATGTGACTGAGTCATTTGATCTGAGGGCACTTCACAAATTCACACAATATAATCAGAAAGTGAGTGGGATCACTATTTTTCTATGGTTTATTCAAAACTGACCCGATGCTGCAAGTGGTACAAAGAGGTCCACATGACCCCCTTCTTCTTCAGTGGCCACACAGCTTCCTAATTTCTCCCAGAAGTCTCTCACTTCAGGCTGCAGTAAATTTTTAATACCAATTTTATAACCTGAGGAAAAAAAATCAAAATGTCATATCAGTTTGTAACATTATCATGAATAGAAACTCTTGGCAGTTGGGGAAAATTTGACCACAAACTCAAGAAGCCAACATTTGCTTGTAACTGTGGTACCAAGATCAGTAGGGTACCTCTTCTTCAATGCTGCACATGGTAGGGCTACCAAGGTACCACTAGATACCACAGTAGCCATAATCTTCACATTCTGGATTAATTGGACACTTAGGTTCAGGTCATTGTATCTCCGAAGGAAAGGAGCTCTGGTGGCGCAGTGGTTAAGTGCTCAGATGCTAACTAAAAGGTCAGCAGTTTAAACCCACCAGCCGCTCCACAGGATAAAGATGTGGCAGTCTCCTTTCATAAAGGTTACAGCCTTGGGAATCCTATGAGGCAGTTCTACTCTGTCCTATAGGGTCACTATAGGGTCACTATGAGTCAGAATCGACTCCAAGGCAATGGGTTTGTCTCTGAAGGGAAGAATCACATGGTTCATGTCAGGCAAGATGGTGATGTCTTGGGGGTTACAGGAAGAAAGCTGAATAAAGGAAGATTTTACATTGCCTTCCAGGCAATTTTCTTTCTCACTCTAGAAAGTTGTTTCTAATTGGCATTCTTCAGGAAATAAGATTTTTCAATAGCCATTTGACGCTTCTATTCATGATCTAAATCCAAGAAAAGGAAATAAATCTGAAGAGATTAGACCACTCAACCATAACCACTAGAGTGGCAAAGTCACGAGTATAAAAACGTCCACCAAAGGACCTTGGATAGACTATTATGTTCCTAGTTCCCACTCAGGAATTGGGGAAAGGGAGTGTTTTCTCAGAATTACATTACACACATGTAAACCTACACAAACACACAGACCAGGAAAGGGGGGTGGGGAGCAGAAGAGAACAATTACTGAAGTTCAAACACATTAAAGAAAACTGGATTTGGAGACATCCACAAAGTTCACAATCACAACTTTTATTGTTCAGAAATGTGAATGAAAGCAATGATTTAGATATAATGTATGAGAGATTTTATACCGCTCGTAAGAAATGTAGGACAAAATATTTTCACTAGTTTCTTTGTTAGTCAGCTGTAAATTCAGTAAGATGAAAGAGCTAGCATGCATAATAATGCTGAGTTTGACTTTTATAAATGGGTTGGATTATCCATCCTTCAGTTAACAATGTGCAGAGGTGTGAGTTACTAGTCTCAGGGCAGGTTTAGGGTGGATTGTCAGTCAAGTCTGGGGTTCTGCAACCAACTTCCAAAGCAGAAATGTTTCCCACACTGTCAATCAAAAAATAAGTCGTTTAGGCATAGTAAGACTCCCAGCAATAGTAAACATCACTAAACTTCTTTCCTCTCACTTCCTGGGAATTCTGTGTAATGACTCTGCTAAGCAACATGTATCTGCACCCCCATCTAAAGGAGACCTGGAGACTCTGCATTCTTAGGCCACAGCAATGAAATGAAAACAAAGGCTGGTACAAGAATCCTGACGCTTCCCTCCTTCCTGTTCGGAGGTCTCCATACATAACGGAAGGACTACTTTGAGTGGCATGGTAAAAGATTTCATTTTTGTTGTTGTTTTTAAGGCAAAGGCTTGTAGAAAAACACCACAATTATATAGAAGGAAAATAATTTTCTTAGGTATTTCATTGTTACTATTGCTTTTAAAAAACAAGAAGAAGAAGAAAAAGGCAAAGTGTGAAAACCTTTCTCACCTGGAGAACAAAAAGGCTGAGATCAGGAGCCTCTAAGAGGCCCTTTCACTATATATAAGGTGAACCTACTACCACAGTATAAATACGCGCTTATTACCACTCCACCGTTTAGAGAAGGGTTAAACCAAAAACAAAAACAAAAAACTCCAAACCCATTGCCAGAGCCTATTCCAACTCGTGACAACCTCATGTGTTACAGACTAGAACTGCTCCATAGGGTTTTCTTGGCTATAATCTTTACAGAAGCAGACCGTCAGGCCCTTCTTTTGCAGTGCCAATGGGTGGGTCCAACCTGCCAACTTTCAGGTTAGTAGTTGAGTGCAAACCATCTGCATTACCCAGAAAAGAGATACCATGTAATTAATTAGACATTTAAATCCCAAACAATGTGTTTTTGTGCTTTACCTTTTTGGGATATATATAAAATTGAACGTAGAATACAACTTGCTATAGGCACAAGGTAAACTAAACAAGGAAAACCAATTGTAAAGCAAAACTGAACCAAAAGCAGTTAGTTTTTGCTAATTACAGAACTCACTGAAACTGTTCCAAGTATGCTAAGTTCCAGGACAAGTTGGCAGATGACTCGGGGACCTCCTCTGCCATTTTGTGAGTTCCTTGCCAGCTGGATCAATGACCATCTTATTCCCATTCTTCCCTCATCCCACAAGGATAGAAGATTTCATGTTAATAAAATCAAAAACCATTCTATTTTAGGTATAAACAAGGAAGAAGACAAGTTATATTATGAGGAAGAATAGAAAGTAAAGGTTAATTCTAAACATTCATCGCCTTCTCGCAAGAAAAGGAAACAATGGAAATTTTGAAAGAATGCCCCATAACAAGTTAATGATACCAGCCAAGCCTTTTCTCTGTGGTATAAGCCAAGCGGGAGTATCACATATGTTATCAGTGCACACCAATTTATAGATCCTGGTATTTGCTGCTGTTAAATTGCTTCCCTTTCTTCATAAAGCCAACATCAACACTCCTAAGCAAATTGGAACTTAACTCTGAAGGTCAAGCCTATGGACAAACACTGCATAAGGGCAAAGGTGCTTGATTGTTCTTTACCAATCCCCAGTCCTACCTTGCAGTAAGTTGATTTCTCTGCTATCTCCATCACTAAATATTCCTATGCTCTGTGCCTTCCGCCCATCCAGAGCTCTTTCTATGAGAAAAAGCAGGCCCTCCAACGTTATGCCACAGTGTTCATAAACCACAGAAATGACATCCAACTTAACGCTGTCCACAACCATCTAGAAAATGAAATCAAACTTGTAGGAACCAAAGCCCACTATTTTAGCATATTTATTAATGAAATATATGTAATAGGCTGTGATTTTTAAAGAATGCATGGCTATTTTCAGAAATTACAGAAGGAAGATGATAAATTTCCTCCTTCATTGGCTTCTTTTTAAATTATTTATTTTCTAATTATAAAAGGAGAAAAGCAAATACACTTGTAGTGCCATTGCTCAGAGATAAATAATATTAACACTGTCAGTTATTTTCTCCCAGTCTTTTTTTCTTTGCACGCACCCATGTACAGAGACACATATACAAATAAAAATAATAAAATTGAGATCATTCAATTTTGTGATGGGCTTCTTAAGTAGATTTAAAAGTTTTCCTTTTTTGAATTGTGGGTTTTTGAATTATCCAATATTGATTGATAAATATTTCCCGTTTAAATAAATATTAACACCACTGTTCTTTGAATTCAAAAACCAAATAAACTTTCATTGTGGCAAAGCTAATTCACAGCAGCAGACAGGCTGGAAAGTCATTGAAGTTGCTGATTGATTGTTTTCAAGTCCTTACATCACTTTCTGGAGGTGAGACCTTAACTGCATGGAAAATTACTACATGCATGGTATTGCCCTACTTTCTACCTAAACTCCCATCACATTCATAATCATATAACTAATTACAACACAGTTTTCTTATATAAAGAGAATTTATCGAATGCCAGTTTATTCACCCATTTTCTGGCACCAATTATCCTCTGTGCCCAGCATGATGCCTCCTTACACATTAGGGGTCCTATCTGTGGCCCACTTGGAGATCAAAGCTCCAATCTTGCTTTCATGTAGACTCACTGAGCTAACTGTTGTAACTGATTCGAGTCGATTTCTAGATGCCCAAAAGGTGAAAAATGATTTCATCTCTTAAGAGCAATCATTTTGTTAGAAACTGGAATTATACTTGAAAATTTTCCAAGTAGCCCAATGAATACAGAATGGATGTTATCCCTTATATATATAACACCTATGTGTGTGTATCAGTATATATATGTACATACATACATATACACTCACTCATATGTAAAAATACATGTCTTCTATGTCTTCTTTGTCCTTTATTTTTCTTATTATTCATAGTAAAATTAATATATATATAATTTTATTATAGAAAGAACATACTTTATTTTAATAGCATCCTCATTATATAGATCACAAAATAACACTTCTGACTTTTCTTTTGAGAGATTTTGGTTACATAATATTAAATGCTTTGGGTTTTTAAAAAATTATTCTTAATCATCTTGTTCTTTTTGGAGTATTGTTTCCATTGGGTGCCATCAAGCCAATTCCGACTCATAGCAACTCCATGCGACAGAGTGGCTGTAATCTTTACAGAAGCAGATTGCCAGGTCTTTCTCTGCAGAAGCGCTGTGTAGGTTTGAACTGCCAACCTTTCGATTAGCAGCCAAGAACTTAACCGTTGCACCACCAGAGTTCCTTCTTTTTGGATTAAGAACACCAAATTCAATTCAATAAGAATGTATTGAACATCTATTAAATGCAAGGCAGTTTCGGCCTTTAATGCTTTTTAAAAATAATTTTGACTTATGGTTACCTTTTTTGCTTCCAATTTCTAAAATTGATTTGGGTCTATACATTTCCACTTTTCTTTCAGGAGATGACTCATTTTTATGCACATGGAGGCTAACAGATTGTCACACACCCTCTAGTCTAGATGAAGAACACTAATTCAGAAAAGCACTGGCCTTATAACATACTTTGTACCTCATATGCAGGAATCCGAGATGATATTAATATGCAATGTAGCTGGAAAGCATTTGAAGAGCAGTCATAATTTTTAAAAACTCCACGCCAATTTTTCTTTGATAATAAAGGGTAGGAATGGCTTCCAGAAACATTACTTCTATTGGGGAAAAAGGAGAACAAATAAAGTTTTCATTTTCTCTTAATTTTGAATTAAGCACTAAAATGTTTTCTGGCCATCAGTTACACTGTACACCGCTCATGACCTCAGTGCCTCAGTCTCTCGGGAACACTGCAGCAAATCGGGCTCCTGGGCAGGGTGGAGCCAATTCTGCCTCTTAGCCTCTCCTCCTCCATATAAAGTCATTGCTGTCGAGTTGATTCTAACTCATAGCAACCCTATAGGACAGAGTAGAACTGCCCCATAAGGTTCCTCCTCCATATAAGGGATGCTAAAATGATGTCTTGGAACTTCCTTAGCTTTTGTGGGGCACTTAAAATGTATGTAGTGACATACTTAGGGGTTAAAAAGTGACATTTAAAAAAGACCATTCGATGGGGGAAAAAGCCTCGTCGATAAATGGTGCTGGGAAAATTGGATTTCCACGTGCAGGAAAATGAAACAGGATTCATGCCTCACACCATACACAAAAACAAACTCAAAACAGATTAAGGATCTAAATGTGTAAACTAAAACCATAAAATTCTTAGAAGGAAATGCAAGGGCAACACTGTCAGGCCTAGCTTTTAGCAGTGGATTATCTAATAACAAAATCACAAACATCAAAAGACAAAATAAATAAATGGAACCATCATAAAAATTAAAAATTTTTGCTCATCAAAAGACTACCAAAAAACTGAAAAGACAAGCTATTGACTGGGAGAATATATTCAGAAACCATATATCCAATAAGAATCTAATAACCAAAATACATAAAACATTGACAACTTAATAATAAAAAGACAAATAACCTAATCATAAAATGGACAAAGGATTTGAATAGATATTTCACCAAACAGGACATTCAAATGGCCACAAAACACATGAAAAGATGCTCAACATCATTAGCCATCAGAGAGATACAAATCAAAACCACAGTGAGATACCATTTCACTCCCACTAGGATGGAGCCCTGGTGGCACAGTTAAGCGTTTGGCTGCTAATCAAAAGGTTGGCGATTCAAATCCACAACCGCTCCTTGGAAACCCTATAGGGCAGTTCTACTCTGACCTATAGGGTCACTATGAGTCGGAATCGCCTCAGTGGCAGTACGTTTTAGAATAGCTAAGATAAAAAACGTAAACAACAAATGTCAGTGAGTATGTGTGGAAATTGGAACCCTTATCCATTGCTGGTGGGGAAGCAAAATGGTACAGCCATTGTGGAAAACAGTGTGGCAGTTCCTCAAAAAACTAAAAATAGAACCATATGATCCAGCAATTCCATTCCATTCCTATATATTCAAAAGACTTGAAAACAGAGACTTGTACACCAATGTTCACTGCAGCACTGTTCATAATAGCCAAAAGGTGGAAACAACTAAATGCCCATCAACAGATGAACGAATGGATAAACAAAATGTGGTACAAACATACAATGGAATACTACTCAGCCAGCAGGAGAAATGAAGTCTTGATACATGCTACAATATGGATGAGCTTGAAGACATTATACTGAGTGAAATAAGTCAATCACAAAAGGACAGATATTGTGTCACCTCACTTATATAAAAAGACAAAAACAGGCAAATGTATAGAGACCAGAGTTACTAGTGGTTACCAGGGGCAGGAGGAGGGAGAAAGGGATGGGAAAATTGCACTGATTAAGCGGAGAGTTCAACAGCCGGTTACTGTACCTGCGGTCAATAAGATGTACATCTGTAAAAAGTTGAATTGGTAAAAGTCGTGTGATAGATATACTTGCAAAAATGACCAAAAAAAAAGAGTAGCTGCAGAGGCTGCTTATGTACAACCAAACACCTTGTGGAATGTGGTTCCTTGTTCTGGATGTTTAGGGTTATGGTTTTATGGGATATCCCAGTTAATTGGCCAAATAACACGTTTAGTGCTTTTGTTCTATCTCCTAGTTCATTGCATAGTGCCTGGCATCTTAAAAGCTTGTAAGCAGTCATCCATGGCACAACAATTGGTCTCTATTCACCTGGAGCAATAGAGTAAGAAGGAGAATCCGGAAAAGGAGGGGGAAGTGGAATGTGTGGCTAATTGCCTCCATGAACAACTGCCTCCTTTGCCATGAGACCAGCAGAACTGGATGGTGCCTAGCTATTATTACTGAACATTTTGATCAGATTGCATAAAAGAATCCTGATCCAAAGGGGGAAAATACAGTACAGAATTTCAAATTCTCATGGACTCCAGACTTTCTTCAGCCATGGAGGGTGGATAAACCCCTGAAACTATAATCTTTAAATGAGATAATCTGAGATAATGTTTAAACCTTACACCAAAAATATCCCCTGAAGTCAAAATCAAACAATAGTTTAGCTCAACTAGTAAAAAGGGTCTGCCTCGAGGATTTTGCTCTTTTAAGAACCATCTATATAGGATCAAATTGACGACAGCAACTCGAAAGATTAGATAGGAACTTTAGGGGACAGTGAATTTATGTTAATGAGGGAGGAACAAATTAGAAAAGGAAGGTGAGAATGGCTGCACAACTCAAAGAATGTAATCAATGGCACTAAATTGTACATGTAGAAACTCTTTAATTGGAGTATGTTCTGCTGTGTATATTCTCAACAACAACAACAAAATAAACTTTAGGAAAAAAAGCAGCTGAGAGATTTTAAATTTCCTTAATCATCTGTGCCTCGGGCAGTCCGTATAATGTCTCCATTCTACATTCTACAACCACCCCCCCTCCTCCTGATCATGTCTATACTCTTATTCTATAAAAAACATTTGTGGAAAAATGTTATTTTTCCTCAATGACTTTATATAGAAAAAATACTAAATCCACAAGGTAGCCTCTCTGCAGAATTAAGAATATTTGAAATATAAGTTTTGAATGTTATATACTTCCCTCTAGAGAAAGCATGATAAAGACCACTGTTCATGAAGGTTAAAGAATCATTCCTATTGATATTTCATAGGCTATGAGTTATAATTCTACAAGATCCCTGCATGTTATCTGAATTACTGAAGAATGAATTCTTGGTATTATGGGGTGGTTTTGAGCCTTCAGCAGCTGGAGGTTTGCTTACCGCTTGGGCAAAGCTTCCAAGGACGCCAAAACAAGCTGTTTCTCCAAAGCTTCGTGTAATCCCACTCGATCCCTCATAGTCTGGGAGAGACGTGGTTGGCATTTGGATTTTAACAATCTACAGCAGCATGTTCCACTCACCCAAGGGGGTCGAGCTTTGAATAACTCCTCTGAAAAACAAACAGCAGTAGGCTCAGCCGTTTACTTCATGCTTCTCCCAGCCAAGTCTACATAGACAAAGGCATCAAAAATAAAGCTGTACCAGGGAAGTATTCCAAGTGACAATAATTCTAGCATTTTCACAGTGTCTGTTTAGATTTCTTATCCTCTCAGCACTGTAGCTGAAAATTACCAGTCATTTCAGGTCAAGAAACAAAGCTCCAAGAACAAGCAACTCTTTTCTTGCTGAGACCAATTAATCAATTTAAAGGCTTCACATCCATTTCTACCCTTCTTCTTGGCTGTAAGTAATTTCCTATTTGTTCCAAACTCACCAAAGGGTGAGTCAGTGAAAAAAAGGATGGGAGAACTCCAACTGGTTTTGTTGCTTACCAGAAGGCTTAGCTGAAAGTATGTCTTGCACCCACTCCCTTTCTACTTCCATTCCCATTTTCATTTCTTCTCGTTTTTCACCAATCCCACTTCTTCTGTGCTGAACCTATTAATTTGCCTTTACCTGTATTCTTACTTCTCTCTCCTCCTTGGTTTTGGTCTTATGAATCTGAGAGGAAACTGGGACAACAATGGCGGCACTGATATTTGGCCTTACATATTTCATCTGAAATCTTTTTTGTTTCACTCTCAATTAACTTGAAATATACAGTGAAGAAAAACAAACAAAAAGCTTGTCCTGAACATACTTTAAACAGTGCCACCCACATGATGGAAACCCTGGTGGCGTAGTGGTTAAGAGTTTGGCTACTAACCAAAAGGTCAGCAGTTTGAATCCACCAGGGGCTCCTTGGAAACACTATGGGGCAGTTCTACTCTGTCCTATAGGGTTGTTATGAGTCAGAATTGACTCGATGGCAATGGGTTTCGTTTTTGGTTTTTTAACCCACATGATATTCCAGAAAGATAGCACTATCCTTCTCTGTGGGAATTTGTATGTAAATCCATTTGTTTCTACAAAATACTTGGATAAGATACAAAGTTTGTAAACACCACTCACTTTTGCGTAGTCCAATTTTCTCCCAAATTATTTTTCTTAGACACTTTTCTCTTTGTCTCTCTTGTAGCTCCTCATCTCCTGCTTTGGGTTCATTCAGGGTTCCATAAATAGCAGTGGCTTCCCTAGGTGTTAGCCAGTCCAAGTTGGATACACAAGCAATGTAATGGTGCTTCCAAGCACCATACTCATTATCTGTTGGAGTATAGGGCAGAAACCATCCAAACTTAATGCATTTGGGCCTCCATAAGCAATCCTTCAGAAAAAGAACCAAGAGAAAGACGAGTTGCAAACTTTTTTTAAAGACAGTTTTTTAGTAATAATGTTTTCAGGTACACAGATCATTTTTTTTATTATATTGAGATATCTGTTGCAGGTGACTTGTCGTCTAAACTTGACCCTGTGAAATAAGAAGCATATACTACTTCACAGGAAAAATATTCTTGAGGAATATATATATACACACACATATATACATGTACATATATATGTGTGTGTGTATAAAACCATTGATGTCAAGTCAATTTCGACTCATAGCGACCCTAAAGGACAGAGTAGAACTACCCCATAGGGTTTCCAAGGCTGTCATCTTTACAGAAGCAAAGTGTCACATCTTTCTTCCGTGGAGAAGCTGGTGGGTTGGAATTGCTGACCTTTCAGACTTCTCGTTAGCAGCCAAGCACTTAACCACTGCGCCACCAGGGCTCTCTCTCTTTCTATATATATATATAATCATTCTGGTTTTCCCATCCACCTTCAACAGTTATACAATGCTCTCATAGCATTTAATTATGTTCATTCTAGATTCTGAGAATTCTGCTTCTAGCAATGGTGTAGTTGTTTCTTTTCTGACCATCTCTCCCACTGAGAACAACTTCGACTGAACGATAAGATATTGCTGATATGCAATCATTTTTGACACATAAAAACAACAAATTTCATATGATTCAGTGTAATCAAGTATTTAGACAAAATATTACAAAAAGCAACCATTTGAAGGCATTACAGAGCTACCATGGCAAAAAGGACTTGTGTAACCAAGATTCCAGAGAGAAGGGAAAACCAGAGAAATGAGCCCGATAGTTTGCATCACTTTTCCCTTCAAGGCATTTGCCAATTCCAAAGTAAAGCTTCTTAGGCTGAGAGGCCGAGCAGAAAGTTGTAGCTGAAAGACCAGTGTATTACCTCCTTATTTACAAAGTGAATTACTGTATTTAACATATTGCCATTTTTCCTGTTAAGGGTAAGTTAGTTATGGTTCAGGTACCCTTGGTAATCGTCTTCAGTGAAGAGAGCTACCCCAACTGTCTCATTACAGATTACAGCTGTATTTGTGCTCTACGACTAGGTAGTGACAAGGAGTAAACCTGTTCAGTTAAAAATTTCCAGGGCCAGCTGACTTGTGCAGCTGCACACAAATCTTTCGGATTCAGAAAGGAAAAAATATAGAGAGAAATGAAACGTGGTAACACTGTAGAGAAATCCACTTTGGCCACTTGCATCCTTTGTGAAAACCAGTCTTGGACAAACCTGAAAAGAAACAGAAATTTAGTTCAGAACATTAATATCTAAAACCGACTAAAAATCCAATATAAATATCGATCATTGTTCTTTAATGTTCTACCTGTAAAAAATAATTAAATCCTACAAACATAAGGCTATATTTTTTCAATACTGTATCCACTTTCAGTTATCCATTCTAAAGAGGAAGATGAATAACACAAATACCTGACACCCACCGAAATTAACCTATCTGCTTAAGTCATAGCCCTGGTTTTTCTTTCTTTCTTTCTTTCTTTTGCCCTACCTCCTAATCCAATAAAACAGCAAATCATCTCAGCTCAACCTCCAAAATACATCCCCAGACTCAACGACTTCTCTCAGTCTCCTATGTTATTACTCTGGCCGAAGGCACCTACATCTCTCTTCTGCACTATTACAACAGCCTACTTAGTCTCTCAGCTTCCACTCTAGTTTTCCTACCATCCATACCTGGATGGCACAAATGGTTTGCATTCAGCTAATACCCAAACGGTGAGCAGTTCAAACCCACTCAGCAGCACCATAGAAGAAAAGCCTCATGATCTAGTTCCATAAAGATTACAGCCAAGAAAACCCTATGGAGCAATTCTACTCTGTAACACATTGGGTCACCATGAGTCAGAATCTACCTGACAGCACAACAACCACAACATTCTCCATACAGTAGCCTAAGTGGCCTTTTAAAAGTATAAATTAGATAATGTCACTCATTTACTTAAAACCCTTCAATGACTTTCCAATGCAATTAGAATAAAAACCTAGAGATAACAGATACTTAACAGTAAAATACTAAAGTCTTTTCCCTAATATCAGAAACAAGATAAGTCAATTTAACATGTACTGGAGGTCCTATATAGTTCAACAAGGCAAGAAAAGGAAATAAAATGCATACATATCGGAAAGGAAGAAGTAAAACTGTCTCAATTCATTTCTTATGTACATAGAATCTAGGTAACAACTATTAGAGACAACTAAGGAATCTACAAAACAACTATTTAAATTGTTGAACTTATCGGTATAAAATTATTGGTAAGTTTCCTTTGTTATCTTTTTAATATCTGTAGGATTTGTAGCAGTATCCCCATTTTCATTCCTGATATTGACATTTTGTTTTTTCTTTCTCTCCTTAATTAGTTTTGCTAGAAGTTTATGAATTTTATTAATATTTAAAAAAAAACCTTCTTTTGGTTTCATTAATTTTATCTGTTTGCTCATTTTCTATTTTATTGATATCCACTCCTATTTTTATGATTTCTTTCTACTTACTTTGGGTGTAATTTGCTATTTTCCCCCTAGTTTCTTAAGGTGGAGATTTAGATAATTAATTTTTAACCTTTTTTGCTTTTCTAATATAAGCATGTAAAAACATAAATTTCCATTTAAGCTTTGCTTTAGCTGAATCTCACATGTTTGGTATATACCTAATCCTCACTTATTGACTATCTTGTTATCCAACATTTCACATTTACAACAATAGTAAAAAATCTACTGTCTGACTATTTTGTGCATTAATAATGTATGTTTGGCAGTAACAAATGCTGAGGTACGGAGCAGAGTAATGCTGGCTGTGATGATTAAGGTTATGTGTCAACTTGCGGGCCATCATTCTCAATGGTTTGGCAGTTACGTAATGATGTGATTTGGCAGTTAGGTAATGATGTGATTTGGCAGTTATGTAATGATGTGACTTGGCAGTTATGTAATGATGTAATTTGGCGGTTATGTAATGATGTAATTGGCAATTATATAATGATGTAGTCATCCTCCATTTTATGATCGGATGTGGCCATCTGCCATAAAGCCAATTTTCATATAATGACCTAGTCTTTGGAATATAATCATGTCAATAAGTGAGGAGTGGATGTATTGTATTTTCTTTATCATTTGCTTTGAAATATCTTCTAGTTTCCTTTGCGATTTCTTTTTTGAACATAGATTTTTTAGAAGTGAGTTAATTTCCAAATATTTGGGAATTTTCTAGATATTTTACTTTTATTAATTTTCAGTGTTATTCCAGTGTGGTTACTTAAGAAGATTTCAATATTTTGAAGTATATTGAGTTTTAATTTGTGAATCAGGAAATGATCTATCTTGATGACCATCATATGCGCCCATAAGAAGAATACGTATCTGGAAGTAATTGAGTTTAGCTTTCTATAAACATCAATTAGGTCAAGATGATTGAGAAAATTGTTCAGAACTTCTATATCCTTACTGATTTTTTGTTTAGTTGTTCTATTAATTAAATGTAAGATTTTGTTTCATATAATTTTTAATACTATTATTTGGTACATACATCTTTGTAATTGTTATGCCTTCTTGATGAATTGACCCTTTTATACTATAAAAGTCCTTTATCTCTCTGATAAGAGTCCTTGTCTTAAAGTCAGTTTTATCTGATATTAATATTGCCATTCTAGCCTTGTATGCTTACTATTTGCGTAGTAATATTTGCATGGCATATCTTTTCCAATCCTCTTACGTGTAACTTATTGGTGTTGTCTTTATATTTAAAATGTGCTCCTCATAGTCAGTATATAGTTGGATCTTGTTTATTTAGCTCCTCTGAGGGGTCCTCTCTGATCAAAATTCCCATTGGGTGGATTAAGCCCCAGAAAGTTTCAGTGTGAATGAAAATGCTACCTCCAGTTAGGGACAAATGTGGCCTCTAAGACCTCAGTAATCACCTTCATGAACAGGTTGCTGACTACTACTTTACCCAAACTCAACTACAGTCTTGCCTACAAGTCTCAAAACCTGAAGGTAGCCGTGTTCACTGATAAAACATTACACCTCCAAGAGAGGCAAATCCAATTAATCATTATGGTGAAAACTTGCCGATAACTCACAGCATTGGATGTCCTGTGTAATGGGCTGAACTTCAAGTGGTACCACTGACCATATAGTAACTGTCCTGAGAAGGACTGAGATTTGCCTGAACAAATTGGTAAACTCCTAACTGTATAGTCAGGCCATTGGGCTACCCAGGATTAGAATACTGGGGTGTCTCCTTATGAATCATAAACAATAACTTAATCATGAGTTCAATCTTTATGTTTGTATATGTGCTCATATGAAGTAATCAAATCTAAAAGCACCTGTATTTTTTTTTTTTTTTGGCCTTTTATTTATTTATTTATTTTTTATTGTACTTCAGGTGAAGGCTTTCAGAACAAATAGTTTCTCATGAAACAGTAGTACACATATTGTTTTATGACATTGGT